GGGTCACTTGAGAACACTATCTTAGGGGGTCGGGGGCATTCCCCTGCGAAATTTTTGTGCTCTAGACGCCTGAAAAATAACCTCTAAGACTTTTGGGTGATCCAATTTCTTTCTTTTTCTTTCTCTTACCTTCCAAAAGGTGGGGCCAGGGCCAGCTCCCCACCCCCTAAATCTACCCCTGAATAACTTACCCTTTCTTCAATTTGCTGAATAGAGTGCCCCTTGTGGCTACCAATGATACAACAGTTTGCACATACAGGGTGCATGCATGTATCTTCTCTACAAAAAAAATCCAAGGTTTTCATAGAATGGTCTCTACAGGTGTCAGTGCTCCTACAAAAATTGGAAAACCATTTTACGATAACATCTAACTATCAATCCACTTCTTTCTTCTCTATCACAAACACATGCTATACGCCCAGCGTCAGTCTTGCTCATATCACCCTACAATTGAAAGCCTCAAGTCTTACCACTGTGCCACTCAACTCTAACCTAGGCCTACCCCTTTGTAGCAATATACTATTGAATAAAATAAAAGAATCATGTCATAAAATTATAACATATTTTAACATTAAATTTCTTTCAGAAACAAAATGTAGGATTAAAAAAAAATAACGTGGGATATAAACCTGCAATAAAATTGGTAGATAGGTCAAGCCCAGGCCTTAGGCCCTGACCAGACTTTTATTGTCACATAGCAGTAAAAGGAGTTGGTATGAACAAATACTGAATAAACGCAGCTTTACAAGTGAAATAGTTGCTGTCAAAACACTTTATTTCTTTCACTGAATTGCTCACTGACAACTTTCAGGATCAACAACACAACACTGAAAACTGGTGAAATCATTGCATGCTCATAACAACACAATGGCTTAACTTCAACTGCCTAGAACACACACACACACACACAGCCAGTCATACTTTCATAGTCTATTGATCACCTGTTACTCAGGCATGTAGACATTACATAATCACCAATAATCACATCATGATCATATAAAGGCATATCATCACTATTTATGGGCATACAACAGTTTGAAAAAGAAAATATGACAATCTGGACAGAGCTTTACGTGAAAATTACTTTTGCATGAAAATTTCTCTAAAGTTGGATTGTGGGCTTGAACTGTAACCATGGTGGGCCTATAGTAGAACTTACAAAAATTATAAAATAACTAAAATAAGACACTTACCCTTTTTGTTTGAGAGGAGTTGCTTGATGCATCATTAAGATTCTGGAATTCTGGTGGATTTTGTCGAAGCAAACACCACATAGAAGGCAGTTACACTTTGCACACATGCAGGTTGCTGGCTTTTTTATACACTCTACACACATATCTTCATTCTCTATAAAGAAAGACAAGAATGATAATGGTAGAATTAGCTGAAACATGAGCAGATATAGATAAGCTTCCAGCCTCGCATTAAAATTAATTATGAGGTCACAAAACAGTCTGTACTAAACAGTAACAAGAGAGGTAAAGGTAGTCAAGCCTGTACAAGTCCAGAGTGCCCTCAAAGCAAGCATCCAAACCTCAATGCTACAGCTCCATTGCATACCTCCTGTAACCTTCTCCTTAAATTGCCTAAAGACTTCAGGAACATTACTGGTAGTCTCGACTGGATGATCATGTTTTCTTGGAACAAACTTGCCTTCACCCTTTCTGTAAATGCCAAAAAAATAATGATAAATAATTTAAAATACATATGGTGATAAAGACCAATTATTACTTTTAGATTAGAAATGGAAGCATGGGATTCAGTGTGCAGGAATTTAAATCAGAATTTACCTTTCCAGAGTGTAAATCAAACTTCAGAACTGACCAATCAGAACATGGTCACAAACACATGTGTTGTCCCACAACCAATCAGAATAGGGTAAAGAATATACACTTGTCCCACAAAAACACATGTTTCAGACAAACATATATTGTCCCACAAACATATGTGGTGTCCAAAAAATGCATGTGCTTGCGAATGCATGTTTCGTGAGTGTTGTTTTAGGGAACTAGAAGCTATATGGTGACAGGGCTTAGGAGAAAAGTCGATTTTGAAGAAATACTTACTGAGTCACTTGCTTTTTACTCATTGTTAACAGAACACCAAGAATGTAGAAATCAGAAGGCAGTTCATCAATGCTAACTTCCTTTAGTGGTGTCGGAGTTGCGGTCTGAAAATACAATCTCATTAATAATAATGAATAACAATATTAATTACTCATGAACACATCCACTAACCAGCAGAGATCAATAATATTATTATAACAATACATCTTGAATAAACTAAATTTTGTGGATTAACAGCATAATAATTGCCACATAGAACAGCGATTTAACATTAACAACTGTAAGCAAAACTATTTGAGTCTTACCATCTCAGGCACACATTACACTCCTACTTGGCCAGAGTTTAATATTGCTGCTATTTTACTGTTTATTTTTCCATTTCTGTCATTAAGCTTGTAAGTTTGTTTATATTATTAGATGCTACAGCATATGAATACATTATTATTATTATTATTATTATTATTAGGCCAAATAAAATAAATTGTTTGTTTGCCCTTCTTTTTTCAAAAATGATAAATAGGGGCGGGTGAAAAAGTTTTTTTTAAATTAATTTATTTTTTAATTCTCATCAGATGGAATAAAAATAACCCACAGAGGCCTAGAATGGCAATATCTTGCATCAGACAACAAATTTAGACTAATTAGTAGGGCATGTGGCAAAAAATAAAGATAAATTGACTCACATCAGTTTTTTTGTTTTTTCGCCCCTATTTTTTCAGTGAGTTTTTTTGAGTGAGGAGGGAAAACAACAATTTTTTTTGGCCTTATAATTATAATTATTATTTATTTAAGCTCTCCTCTCCCTCTAATTAGCGCAGCAGTATTACCTTACAGATGGGACAAATTACATTGGTTCTGGTGATCCGCATTAACTTCAGTAGACAGCTTCTGCAGAATGTATGACCACACTGAAGCAGATGTGGAAACAGGCTTCCTACAGGGTCTGCAAAAAAATTCATCACATGTTATGAAAGAGTATTCACTGTATATCAATTGAATCTAGGGCCCAGGCCTGATTAATTAAAGGAAGTGGATATATTTACATGACCGTAAACAAACGATATACTTACGAGAATGGACAGTCATAAACTTACATTATCGTTCACTTGAAATAAGTGTCGGCAGACCAAGCCGCAATTCCAAAAGCTTACCACAGCACTGATTTTATTATACTTTTGTTTTTATCAAACGTAATCTAATTTCCTACAATACTATAGTATGTATTAAATCATTGTGTTTAATTTACTTTTCAAATAAGTGATATTATGAGCTAAAAATATTTGTTTTCTTTTCATTTTACTCCCATCATTTGTTGAATGAACACACTTGACAATGTAAAATACTAGCCCTACGACAAAACATGGAGGTTCCCTGCTAAACCTAGCACCCAATTAAGCCTACCACGAAATCAAAAAAATATTCCTCTAGGCGTAATATTAATTATAATAACACTTTAATGTTTTCATTTAAACACATTTACCGACATTGTCAATAACAAAAACAGCAACGTTAACATAGTCTTTAGTCAGGTCGAGCTGTCGAACCCCAATTAAGAGCACGAAAGACATCCGAGAAAGACCACATTTAGAGAGCATGTGATCCAAACTCTAAAAGGTATGCTATGAAGCAAAAAGTAAACAACGAATATTGTGTATTTTCTGCAATATATTTGATCATTTTACGAATAAAGTAATACAAAACAAATACTGTATTTTTAATGTTTTATTCAAACACTAACAAAAATAACACTGAAATGCCATGCTGTGCATGTGTCTAGAAAATATGGATGCAGAGACCATGTGGAATAAACAGCCTCGCTCGTACACTGTGGTCATGACATGAGTAGAGTGAAAAGAATACAAATAGGCTTATTTTTGGCTCATTATCAAAATGATTCAATAATCTATTTAATGATTGAAATACATAATACTGTAGCAAATTTAATTATGTTTAATAAGAACAGTAACATTATAACTAAATATATATTTACGAATGTCAAACCTCCCTGTTGTAAACTGTTTACAAAAATTCATTCATCCAATTCAGATATTCCCCGGGTGTATTGCTTTGCCGTTGAATTGATCATGTAATAATAGTGGCTTTTTAATGAGTAGAAACTCATTTGTTTGTACAAAAAAATTGTTTGTTCAAGTTAATGTAATTTAACATGACTCTAAACACTTCCACGTTGGGGGATTTGATTTGCGTACACCGTAGATTCATAGTAACTTGCCAACAAAAGGGCCTCTGCAAATCAGTGCCGTGGTGAGTTTGGGCACCGCGGCTTGGGTCGACACTAATTTTGAGTGATGAAAGTTGAACATTTAACTAGAAGCATGACTGAGCATGCATTATTTATTTCACGTAAATATATCGTTTACTGATTTTTTTATGGTCAAGTAATTATATCCACTTACTTAATTAAAATAAAGAAATATGAACATATTAATTCCAGTAAAAAGTCTGTCTCCCAGATGCCCATAAACAAATAGAATTTTTCTCTTAAAAAAATTCGAATTTTAGCATCATGTTCCATTTACCTCAGGATTCAATAAAATTATGCAAAAAGTGGGCTTTAATATTTTTGTCATCTGTCAGTTGCATTTTTACGCAGCCTAGCATAGCCTAGGCCTACTACTAGTACTACTCCTAGGCTAGGCCCACACAAAACTAGCAGCAACTTTCACTAATGATGGTAAATCATTCCAACTTGCAAAGAAGATGAACAGCTAAAAAATTTGTTTGATCTCAACAAAAGGCCACAAAAAAGCAAGGACACAATCTGGCCAAAGCCTACTAAGGCCAAACTAAGCCTAGGCCAGACCTTTGCTTGGGTTAGGCCTAGGCTAGGCGCTCTGGGTGGACCAGGTAAGCCTAGGCCTAGCTAGGCTAGGCCTAGCCCAATCGTATTCGAGCAGTTTTCGTCAGCTCACCTTGGCCACGGAAGCTTTTGCAACAATTTGGGCATGATGGATACCGCTGCATTTTCTTCCAGATACAAGTGTTAGCTAGTTTTACAGTTAAATGATCACCACTATATCTGGGTCAAATCTGAAATCTCACACCACACATGGAAAATGTCAACCAAATGTTTTCGGAGGGCTCTGTATCCGGAAGCTCAAATCCTAATTTCAACACTCGACTACGCCACCAAGACGTTTCCCTTGCTCTGGAGCACAACGTGGGAAACGCGTTAAGAATGCGTTGCAAAGTTGGTTGTAGCCTACCACTAACAGTGGGCAGATCTCTTATACACATCTTTGGGGGAAGCAGGTGGGGGAAGGGTGAGGGAATTTCGTGAAACCGCACCCGATGTACCATAGAAAATAAAACTTAAAACATTGTCTTTGATGTATTTACTTTACTTTACCTAATTCAAAGCCTTGAGTCCACCAGGGAGTTGTTATGACAACTCCCTGAGTCCACACCCATCCTCAGCTCCACCATGGTGTGGTGCGAAAATTTAAAGGAAATAGTACCTCTAGATGGTCGTAAATGACGCTCTTATATAGTAAAATTCATCATCATCACATCACCATTATATAGTCAACAAGTTCTCATGATGTTTTATCAGCGATTTTCGGCAATCAATAATCTGTTTGATGTGTAGGCCTACCAAGAAAATAAAAATTAAAAACATTGTCTTTGATGTATTTTACTTTATTATACCTACTTCAAAGCCGTGAGTGCACACCCACCTCTAGCATCACCATGGGCTGAGGTACGAAAATTTTGGGAAATAGTATTTCTCGATCATTCGGAAAGACACTCTTGATTGCAATTCATCATCATCACATCACCATTATAAAGAAGCGCCAACCAGCCTCCGTCGGAACCCCACCGGCTTTGGCCGGACCACTTTTCTCAGTCCTATATTACAGGTCTCCCTCCATACCACCAATAAAATCTCTTTTGGGACTAGGGTTTTAGTGGCCCTTTCAGCTTTGGTCTCTAATTTGAATCGCTATAATTAAAGACCGGCTTTAAAAATAACCTTTAAATATCTCTATTGGAGGGAAATGATATAGTAAATGTAAGATTGTTAGAATGGATGTAGGGCCTACAGTTACTTATGCTGTTATTATTATTAATGCTAAAACTATTTCCCGGTAGTCAAGTCCTGTGCTCGTTCTACCTAACCACATACAATATTACTAACAGCACCGTCCATTCAATATAGAGCATTGATACACAAAACATCATCTTTCTATCATCATCATTATTATCATATATATTTTTTAATGCATTAAAATCGCTATAGGCCTATATTTTAATGCATTTATTGAATGAAGGAAACATTTTTTAGTTGGGACTGCCAAAACCATGATATTATACATTACGGTTGATTTTTTTTTCTCTTCCAAGTGTTTTAAAATGGATTACTGCATGCCACACACGAAGTAGGCTAGTCTTGCGCTCCCATTTAATTAGCAGGGCCGTCGGAAGCGCACCGACCGCACCGGCTATGGCCGGACCACTTTTTCTCAATTCCATTACTTTCTGAAATAAATATATAATGATAATTATGAATTATATGAATGTACGCATTGCATGGACTTTTTCAATCATGGTACGATGGCCTATTATAAGACTAAAAATAGCATAGCGACCTAAATTAGACTCTACCAAATCAAAACTGCTGATTTTTCCAGGGGCTTTTACCCTGCTGCACCCTGAACGGGGCATTTTCGGTTTGATTCCAGATTGAACTCACTTCACTTTAGTATGCATTAGTTTCTCCATCACTCTCAAACATGCCAACACCTACATGAACATCATTACCGTTCATCATCATCGTCGACGTCATCGCCATCGACATCATCATCGTCATCATTATTGTCATCGTAGTCATTATCACTTTCATCATAACCGTCATTGTTATCATCATCCCCTCATCATAATTATGATCATCATTAATTCACATTTTTTTCTGGGCATCAAAATAAACAAGGCTTAAAGATGTATTGTCTCTTGAAAATGACAAAAAATCATAAAAATAATTTTGAACTTAACTTGTTCATTTTTGCAGTATCATACATATTTTTAACTTGAGCAAAAAAATTACTGAATTTCAAAAATGTGTACCTATGTGTACTTATTTTTAAACTGGATAATTATAATAAAAATAATGAAACACTTCCATTGACTGGAAGTGTTTCTATCATTTTTCTTTGTAAAATGACGGGTAAACCTTTTTTAAATACACTACTGTAATGTTTATATGTTCAAGTTGATAATTTTTATGTTACTTAAAAATTGGCAAGTTAATTTCAAAAATGATTCAGCGGCATTGTGCCCCTATCCACTCACTAACTGGATCACCTTAATGTTAGTACTCTGTTGCCTTACTTGGCTGGGGCCAGGGGGCCGCCCAGGGCCCCCGGTGGGAGCCACGGATATTTGATGAATTATGGCGAATTTTTATTACTTATTTGATAGGCATCGAGTTACTATAATATGACTTCTGTAGGCTATGCTTTATAATGTTGAAATCAGCTTCCAAAACCAAAACATTTTGAATAAAGCAAGAAACAAAGAGTATGCAATGTAACCATCTAATTTATTTTCAAATCCTCATTCTTGAAAGTGAAATTCTATATTTTGGAAAGTTTGCATGAATAGATGTGTATAAGAGACAGGTCATGGTCGAGGTTGCTTCACCTATCACGATGTATTCCAACCATCATGAGGCTATCTAAATGAGCATTTGTCATAACAGAACGCAAATTATTTTTAATTAGTCTCATTGAATTATTATAATTATTATTATTATTATTATTATTATTATTATTATTATTATTATTATTATTGTTATTGTTGTTGTTAACACAAACAATATGGTGGCTAAACATGAATATTACATGTAAATATTTTTTATATTTGTTTGTTCGTTCCCCGACAAAATTTATCGTCTTCCCCGACGGGGGGGTTATGCTTTCCCGACAGGGGGCATATCCCCCAGACCTTTCTGGCGCCACCACTGCCCTTGAGGGGAAGGGAAAGCGGCTCTAGGTTGCCAGCATCTGTTTCCAGACATTCATAGGCGCCAAACAAGTTACCAACCATGGTGGGGCTAGAGTTGATATGATAATTGTGACCCAAGACCACAAAAGGACTGTAAACTCGCGTCACCAGGTTTTGAGAAAAAGGGCACGAGACTTAAGCAGAGACTGGCACTGAACTAAGATACAGACTCAATAACCATTAAAAAAAATCTATTAGAGATAAAAGCAAGGGAATTCCTGTGAGTGACCATTTCAATTCATCCGGGCATTCAATTTCTAATTTTCGTTTCACCATCATAGGCAGTGACTACAAATCTACTAAAGATAGACGTTGCGCAGAGTTACGATGGATACTCCGTATTAAATCACATACTAAGGGACTAAACAGAGATTTAGGCTTTGCTAGTGGCTATACTTTCACGAATAACTAATTACGCCCAGCATTGTCTTATTGTTATTTCATTGTTATTTACTGTTATTCCATAGCTCATGATTTATCTACTTTGTAATGTTTTTGTTCATTCACGTTGAGAAAGTTCTGAGGACAGGACGAAATATTCGTGTGAAATAAAATACTTATGTTCCTCCAATACGCCAACCGTTTCATTTGATTTTATCAATGTCTCTATTATTATTTAATTTACTGGGAACATACGTGCTCGCAATCACATTGATGCCTACTCTCTCTTTCTCTCTCTCTCTCTCTCTCTCTCTCTCTCTCTCTCTCTCTCTCTCTCTCTATATATATATATATATATATATATATATATATTTACATATAAATCAAGATAGCCGTTAACACTGTTAAATTATATACATAAATCATCAAAGAAAGGCAAATACAGTGTTCGAATAAAGGACATAATTATAATAATACATCGTGTAGCATAGCTCTCAACGAATGTATTCCTACAAAATGAATAAAGAAATTGTGTAATAAAATGCCTCTGGCGGGACTCGAACCTGCGACCTCTCGCTGTCAAGGCGAGCGTCATAACCATTAGACCACGGAGGCTTCATGGTTGAA